AATAAAGAATTATAACACCGCCATATAAATTTTATAAAATGATTATTATTTAGTAAATAAAGTAAGAAACAGAAAAAAAAATAAAAGAAATCATTCATTCATCCATTGATATTTGATAAAATCCATCGGTGGATTAATTAAGTTTTTTGATGAAGCGATTGAGAGCTTATTGAATAAATTAATCCGAATTTTCCTGCATCCTGCCCAATAATGTAAAATGTTATGGAATTTTGGTGTTATGTTAAAACCCATTGATCAATCGCCAAGATTTTGATTGATTCGATTAAAAACTTGGTATTTCTTATTATAATGAGAAAAAGTTAATATTTGAAAATTTATGAAGAAAAAAAATATTACCGATATTTCGATGCTGCCGTTCCTTTGAATTTGAAAGTCGATTTAAAATTTCCCCTTCAATTGATTCTTTGAATTCTGTTTATCTTCACGAGACGATACTATTTGCATCGCTGTGTTGATCAATGGAACTTCGAATTTTTCCAACTTGATTGTAGCATATATAATATTTCTCGAGAACACCTTCGTCGAGATCATGCATTCTGTAAAATAAAGAATATTTTTCGTTTTTAAGAATAAAATTTCTGATAAATTATTTACCAATCAAGTTTGATAATTTCAACAAAAGCACTGCGGGTCTGAAGATCATATATTTTGTAAGATCGTTTCGATACAGCCTTGTCAATTGTAAATGACCTAAAAAAAAAATTGATTTTCTAATTCGCTTTTTTTCGACTTTAGCCTCAAACAAATTCGAATGTTTTGTTGGTGAATGAGATTGAAACGAGATGATACGAACGAGCACATGCATGTATTCGAATTTTTCGAATGTTCGACTTTTCAGCCAGTGAAAAGGAAACAGGAAAATGCACACTTACTTTAATGGATGACGTTCTTTATGATCAACTCCGTTGATTAAATCAATTTTTGTTTGTTTGTTTCTTTGAAATAATTAATTAATGTATCATCTTAAAAATGAAAAAAATGTCTAAAGTGGATCCTGTAATTAAAAAATATGAATTTCAATGATTTTTTTTTGAAAAAATACTTTACCCTATTTTCATTGTTACATATTTTATGAATTCTTTTTGTCTCGATATTTATGAATAATCAAAACAAAAACAAAAAAATATCGAGCATTCTTTATTTTGAAAAACAAAAAATTCTTTCGACTTTTTTAATGAAAGTTTTCTATCTGGATTAATAACCAAAAATGGCTTCATATGATCGACAAAGTTAGTTGTTTTTTTTCGAAATTATTAATGAAATGAATTATTAATGGTTTACAATTTAGGATTACGATTGAAACAAGAACCGATTGATGAATGGTCAACACAGGAAAAACTTGTTTTGGCATCTGGTGTACAGAAAATTGGAAATCAAAATTGGTAAATTTTTCTTCAGTTTGTTTGTAAACGATAATGATGTTTTTCGAAATAAAATTTCATAGGGGACCTATAGTACGACATTTAAAATCATTTGCCGAAAAAGATCGACCATCCGATTGGTTTAATCCAAAATTCTGTGCACTTCAATACAATGATATGTTCGATAAGATTGAAGCACCAAAGTAAGCATTCTTTTTTTTGAATATTTTTAAAATAAAATGATGATTCATTTTTCAATCAGACGTAAACGTGGAGAACGTGGTGAAGAAACTACACAAGATTTAATTGTAAAAAAATATTCTACTGAACGTATGAATGAACTGGAACAAGGAATGAAAGAAAAATTTAAAGAAATAAAAAATTTAAATAAGATTTTGGATAAATTAAAATCATCCGATTATGATCGAAATTATTTACAAAAATTATCAACCGATATTAAAAAAAGAGAACAACAAAAAAAAGATGAAGAAAATGAATATCAAAAATGGTTAGCTGAACGTGAAATGAGATTATCACAAATATCGATGAAATTCCGTTCCGGATCAACACCAATTACCAATCGACAATCATCTATTCGAGGAGGTGATTCGATGGCAGCCAAAGAAAAACCACCGACAACACTGATGGCTGAAAAAACCGTTGATATTGAAAAAGAAAAATTACCGGAAAATGAAATTTCGGAAAATATATCAGTGGAAAATAACAAAACTGATAATATTGATGATACTGAACCGATAGACAATCAAACATTATCGACTTCTATCGTACAAAATCAAGCATCAATTATTTCACCAAAAACTGAAAACAATTCAGAAACTGAATTGATTTTGGAACGAAATAAAAATGATGATATAAAACCATCGACAGAAATTGATGAAAAAACTAACGAAAATCATTCGACGAAAACTACGAATACAACAACAACCAGCAAAATCGAAACGACAGTCGATATTGAATCAGATTCTGCATCCAGTAATTATAAGGATAATGTTGAAAATGAACCGACTAACATTACTATCGAAATGACTAATGATGAATCTTGTGAAACAAATGAAACAGTTTTTGATGATGGAATTGTTTCATCAACAGAATCGAAAACAGAAGACAATAGTGGTGGTAGAATTTCAACGACAGAACAGAAAATTATTTCTGAAATTAAACCCGATCTACATACTGATTCATCAATGGACATTGTTGAAAGTCCTGCACCACATAATACAAAGGATAATGTTGACAATTCAATAAAAATTGATTCCGAATTGATGGATGATAAAAATATAGTAAAAGTTGAACAACAAAACGATCAAAGTCAAGAATCTATTTCTACACCAAATAATGATAAAAATAATAGCCGACAAAGAAAACGTAGAAGACTTAATACCAGTAATACGAGTAATAATGTTATTCAAACACGTTCAACCCGTTCGACGGCTCATCATTCTGTTGAACAACAACAACAACAAAATGAATCAATCACTGTAATGAAAAAAGAAGATGAAACTTTAAAACCAACAACAACAGCAACAAAAAAACGAACTTCTTCCATCAATGAAGAATCATCGAATACATTTGTAAATTATAGTGAAGAATCGAATGATTCAAAAAGTGTTATTTCCGAACCAGCCGGATCAACTTCATCTCGAACTGCTAACGATAATAATGATAGCGATGCTAAATGGAAAAAAGCATCTTCAGCCATCATACGAGCCATACAAAATCATCGATATGCTCAGTTAGTTTTGAAACCGTTCGAAAATAATGATGAATATCGTGATGCTATATATCAGGATATCGATCTGAATGCAACTAAAAAACGTATCGAATCTGGACAAATTCGTAATGAATCTGAATTTAAACGTGATTTAATGTTAATGTTTACTAATGGTATTATTTTGAATACTGAACCAAATATAATCAAAAGCATAATGGAATTTGCTAAAGAAACGATTGATCTTTTCGATACAACTGAAACGACTAAAATCAAAACACGTGAAAAATATCACACAACACTTGAAGTATGATTCTTGATTGATTGATTTTTTGTTTTGTTTAATATCTGTGATTTTTATTTTCTTTTATCAAAATATTTGAATTAGGTTGAAAAAAATTCGCGAAGACAAACAAGAGGTTCGGTTATGAATGAGAATGAAAAATTATCAAGATCGGGAAAAAAGATATCATCATCAACATCCACAAATTGACAATTGAATTGAAATGATCATATGTTTAATTTAAAATGGACCAAATTTTATTTTTTGAAAAAAATGCATGTTCGATGATGATGATGATGAGTATTAAAATCCGTTATACTTTTTCGACAACTGCAAGAAGTTTTTCGATATTTTCCGATAAATTTTCTCGTATTGTTTCACGATAACGTTTCTGGGTAATGAGATAATCATTTTTAAAAAAAACTTATATTCGTTTTAAAAAATAATAAATATTCAACTTACTATTTTTATGTTATTTTTTTCATAAATAATTGTCATAAATTCTTCAAGTGTTAAATCCATTTGTGATTTTTGTAATTTAGCAAATAAACAATCAGGACTGGCTTTTTGATGTTCAACATTTGGATCATCTTTTGATTGCCATCCGCTCATATGAATGTCACAGAATACGCATCGAACCAGATCATCATTATTATCATGGCCATGTAATTGATAGAAACCATGTTTGGCCATCTTTGTTGTTGTTGTTGTGTGGGAGAAAAAAAACAAGAATTTTTATTCAACGAAAAGAAGAAAAAAACCTTTTTGCTCACCTCTTTTTTGGAAATGTTTTCGGAATTATGTGGCCAATTTGTAAACGATTTTAGACGATTATTTTCGCTATACATTCGATTATCGTTTTCATCATTATTATTATTATTATCGGATGAAGACATTGTATTTATTCTTTGATCCAAAAAGTTTGTTTTTGCTTTTAAAAAAATGGTTACGTTATTATGACACATGAAAAGAGCGGTTAAATTTTCGATGTTTATATAAATCACAAGGATCGTTCATAAAAATAATTACAAAATGAACATTCGAAAAATAACATGTGTGTGATGAGCAAAAGAAAAGTTTTGAACAAACAACAATTTAATGGCTCCAATTGAATCCAAAATCAATGAACAAAATATGGAAAATAATAATAATCTTTGGGGTACTCATAGTTTATGGATTAATTTAGTAATTGATCCAAAAAGTTTGAATGAAGAATTTCTACAAAATCATAATGAAAATGAAATATTCGATCTTATGATTTATCTTATTCATAATGGTATTGCCATACAAGTTACATTAGTATCATTACATGGTAGTACAAATGTTGATGATATACAAAAACGTAATATTGAAATGAAAAAATTATTAACGATAAAATTCCTGTTATTTAAATTATTATCATATTTTCGTTGGAATTTATCCATAATTCATACAAATCTACCAAGTGTACATCAAGAATTTTGTTTTACTGAATTTAAAAAATATTGTGAACAAGAAATCAATGTTGTACCGGAAGATTGGCGAATATTTGCCGATCTAATCTATCATCGATGGATTGTTTATTTTGAACAGAAAAGTACATATCCAAATAAAAATAATACCAAATCAAATAATCTTCAAAATCCAACAAATCTTGATCCATATACTGTACCGGCCGAAATGCAAGAAAATTTATTGAAAAAATTACAAACAACATGTCATTATTCGGTAAATGAAATTGAAAAATATATTAAACAATTAGAATCGAATGATATTGAACAGGTGATTATGCCAACATTTGATTGTTTTGTTGTTGTTGAACAAGATTTTCGTTTTTTTAATCATCAAAATATTATTCGTATCAATAAAAATGAATCACTTGATATACTTTATTATGATCTTGGTATTTGGAATTATATTCATGAAGATTATTGTAAAGCAAATGATTATTTTTCTAAAATTAAAAATAAATCTTCCTATGAAAATTGTCAAGATTATCTTCATATAACATCATGTATGATATCGAAAAATTATAAATTTGGTGATAAAAAAATCAATGAAACATTGGATAAAAAATTGACAAAATTTCTAACATTTTATATCAAACAAAATAATGGTGATGATAATTATATTTGTTTGGAAAATTTTGATTATGAAAAAAATATTGATGGAAAAAAATTTGCACAAATTCTGAAGAATTTTTATCAAACATGTAAAAATAATCCGGAAGAATTGTATCAATTTAAACGGCTTTCGATTTATTTAATATTTAAATGTAAAAATTTATATGAAAATTTGGATCCAAATTTTCGTTCATTAATAATGAAAACAAATCAAAAACAAGATTTTAATGAAAAAAATGATAACGATGTTATTGAAGAAGGTGAAATTCATGATGAAGATGTTGGTGGCCATTTAGATGATGATGATAATGATGATGATAATAATGATCCTGAACTTTGTATACTGCAAGCAACTGATCCGGAAAAAATTCTTAGCCTTATTCCATCGATTCAACATATACCATCATTGATGAATAATAAATGGAATTTACAAAAATTTGAATCAATTTTGGCCAATTATTCCAATACATTGAGCCAAGCGGATCTAAGAAAAATTCATATAATTTTAGCTAAAGCTAATGAATTACGAAAGGCAAAATATTTTCATGAATCAAGAGTACTTTATCTTTCGCTACTTGAAGATATACAAGCATCACAACCAATTTTGGCTGAAACAATTCGTTATGAATTATTACAAACTGATCTGGAAAAATTTTTTTTCCCAAAAACAAAATCAAATGCTCAACAAATTCGTGATTTGAATGCAAAATGTTTAGAATTTTGTCGTTATTTGGATACAAAAAAATTTATATATTTTAATGAATTGGCCGAATTGGTTTGTTTATTTCTGATTGAATATAATTGTAATAATTCAATTTTAGAAATGATTAATCATCCAGTCGATATGATTAGATTTGCATCATTATTATGTCATTTGACTATTAATCAAGATTCACGTGAAAATAAAGCTAAAGAATTTTGGGATTTTTGCCTAGGTTCATTTATATTACCAACATCAAAATATTCAAATAATTTTCCACGTATTATGTTTTCAATATCATTGGCTGATTTTATTTGTAAATTGAAAAAAAATATTATTGCTATCAATATGATTGCAGCAAGTTTAATGAAACTTTATTTTACAATCAAAGAATATTCATTGCAACCATTAACAATGATTTGTCGTAAATATTATGATCTATTTCCATCATCAATGTCAACCAATCTTATCAATTCGATTGATAGTCAATTATTAATCATTACGATTGATCAAACATTTCGTTCATTTATCTGTCTATTACCTGACGAAATTGTTATGACAAGATATTATACAGAATTTTTAATGAATGAAAATCAATATACACAAGCAATGAAATATTTACTTAAAATATTTATGTATCGAACATATTATTTTACACAATTTGAACATTTTACATCGATCGATGAATATATTATACAACAAATGTTAATTTGTGCAAAAAAATTAGATCATCATATTCTGGCAGCTATCCTTTATCAATTTCAAACAAATCCTGATTATGGTCATGCATTTAAAGAATTATCACAAAATAATTTTATCGATTCATCCGATGATCTTTATGATTGTATTTGGGATATAACTCTATTGGAATATTTAATTCATTATCATACACGACGTGGTGAAGATGAACGTAAACAAAAAGCAATACATCTTATATCACAATTAGATATTAATTCGAATAATAATGAATTTATTTTAGAACAAGCATCAAATTTACGTAAATCAAAATTATTTCGTATGTTAGCTAAACAATATCTTTGAAAAATTCAAATGTGTTTTAATACTAATGATATAATAAAACCCTTAACTCGAGTAAAAATAAATATCAAAAAAATGTTTCCATTTATAAAAATAATAACTTTTTCTATAAATAATTTATTTTTTTGTTTGATTGATTCTCAATGTTCATCGAATCAATTGAATGAATGTTTTTTTTCGTGTTTCTCTCTGTGTGTGTGCATTGGTATCTTATAGTTTTTTGATCTAACCACACACACTTTTTATTTCACCACTTATTGACTTATTGATATCGAGGAAAATGTCAAGAAAGAAACAAGAAAAAAATTGATCCAAAAATATTCTCGGGCGTAAACCTGAAAATACAAACACACCGAGATAGAGAATTTCTATCTATCAATCTCTATGGTGTTTTTTGCAAAAACATTTTTTTCCATTGGAAAGGTATTAAATATTGGTCGCCCAATATTTTTTTCTTTTTATAACTAATTCACTATATCGACACTGAATTGATATTCAATGTAGACCAAACAAAAAAAAATCACATGAGAAAATGATATTTGCGAAAACAAAAAAATCAAAGTTATGCATGGCCTAATTTTGTAATCAGTTTAGTTTAGTTAGTTAGTTTTTTTGCTGTGATGGGTTTTTTTCTGTTGTTGCGATATCCGCCTTTTTCATTCACCCTAATTTTCAATTCGAATTCGAGGACGTCAACAACAACGCTGATGATGATGATGACGGATGGATGGACGATCTCATAGGCAAAATAACAACAACAACAATGATTAAGAAAATAAGCTGGTGGAATCATACATAGGTATCATGAAACATTTGAATAACCAACATTTCGTATTTTTTTCGGGAAAATTTACCTGTCTTTCAGCAAATCAGTGAAAGAATTGTGTAGCATCAACAATAATATAATGTCTACATATCCATATTCGGATAGTTTTGCTTTAATACGATCAATATTAATATTGATTGTTATATTCGGTATAATTGGTTCAATATCACAATTAGTTTCTGGATTATTTGCATTGGCTAATGCACAAGATGTAACAACCATAGAACAACCAGAATCATCATTACCATCAATATTACCACCATCAACAACAATGAAATTGAATAAAATTCCCATAAATAATAATTATCATCATCATCAACAACAGGATCGAAAATCAGTCGGTATGTATTGATTGATTGATTGATTGATTTGAAAAATCATTGATTGATTGATTGGATTGATTTAGAGATGAGTGCTGTTGCAATGTTAATAATGGCATTAATATGTTTTACATTCGAATTGATTGGTTTGCTTGGTGCATTATTACGAAAAGTATCCGTTGTTTCAGTGTTTGCTGTTGTAATGGCCATTGCTATTGTTGTTAATTGTTTTATTGGTGATGGTGGTCTAAAATTATTAATCATTTTATTGAATCTTATTATGACAACATTATCCGGTGTTTTTGTTTTTATGTGTATTAGGTAAGGGGTTTCTTTTCCATTCATTCAACTAATCAAGAAAATTTTTGATCCCAAAAAAAACAGACAAAAAGAAATTGAAGCATATCGACAACGAAATTCAATGTCCATATCAGCTATTCATGATATGAGTGTATCACGTGACAGTGTTTATCATTGAAATTATCTCATAATATTCCATATAGTTTTCAAAGCAGACATTAATTACAATTTTTAATTATTCATTTTTAATAATTACAAACAAAAATTTCCTCTTGGTTATTTTCATCTTTTGTTTTTTGTAAATATATTTCAATTTTTGTTTTCCTTTTATGGATGATGATTGGCTACAATTTTTAACACAAACATACACACACAATGGATGTTAAAATAACTTATTGTAACATTTTGTTTTTTGTTAGAAATAAAATTACAAATTTTCTTCTTTCTGTTTTGTTTTGTTTGTGTAAATTCATTATTATCATTATTTTTTGATTTTTGGACAGCTGAAAACAAAAAAGAAAGTTTTATCATTTTTTGGACGTGTTTATTGTTTGTTTGTTTTGTTTTTGTTTGGTTCAGGTATTTTTATACAAATATTTTTCAGTAAGTAAGTGTTAGTTTGTTTTTTTCTTTGGTTTAAGGTAAAATTTAAGATAGGTTAGTTAGGGGTTAATATAAGCTGTTTTTTTTGTTGAATATTTTGGCTGTTTATTGTTGATCACAAACATTAAGATAAATATGTTTATAGATCTTTCATTAACACTCACTTACTCTCTCTCTTGCGCTCTTTTGATTTAAATAAATATTTTTAGTTATTAATTATAAATTTTTTTCTTTAGTGAACATCAATTACAATCACACTATATTTTTTTTGAAGAAAAAAAAATTATTGTTATTTGACATCATCATTATCATTCATTAATCATCTCCATTTTGTATATAATAAATATGATGATAATCGATTTTTTTCCTTGTAAAAGTTATTATTCTTGTTGTTTGATGTTATTTTTAAGGAAAATTGGTTGATTTTCTGATGTAGTCCTTTCCTCCTTAGAATCAATAATAAGTTTCTTGTTCAACCCAACCACCTGGACGACGACGTAATATAAAACGACGAATTTCATCATAAACAAATATTAATATTGAAAATGGAAATGCTGGTAACCACCATGCGAATCTATTTGTTTTTGAAGTTGGAAATTTTATCGGGAATGAAATAAGATTATCATTGGATTGGATTTTTTTTTGTTTTTCAAACTTACTTCAATGGATATAATCGAAGTAGAATGGGCATTCCAGGACAATATGATAGAAATGCTGCCAAAACTGTTTCGAATAATAGACCAAAATTTAAAGCCCAATTGCTATTCAAAAAATCAGAATGATTAAATGATTTTAAATGAGAAATTTGAAAAGAAAACAAAATTCCACTCTTACTTCATGCCCTGATGAATGATAGAATTTCGTCGTGTTTTACAGATAATCAAATCTGCCCATTGTACAACAACAATCGATACAAAAAATGCTGTATGACATGTATATTCAAGATCTTTTCTGGATTTATATGTCTGAAATCAAAAAAAAAGAAAAGAAGAGGATTAATATTTAAATTCTGTAATATTGAAAAAAATAACCCATCATTACCCATTCTTGTCCATAAGCATCAGGTAAATCATTAACAGCTTTTGAATCCCATGCTTCTCTTAAACCGAATAGATAATCAGGTGTAAAACCAGATTCGGCCATAATAATAAAATAGGTAAAAAAACCAGCAGCCGCTTGTATCATACCGATTTGTCCATATGAAACCGATATTAAACGTTCATTAACTAATTTATCTTTCATAGGATTTCTTGGCTGTCGTTTCATAATATCGCTTTCGGCTTGTTCGTATGCCAATGAAATTGCCGGTACCATATCGGTACCCAAATCGATACATAATATTGTTACAGTTCCCAATGGTAATGGTACATTAAATATGATAAAAAATAAAAATGGAGATATTTCAGGTATATTACTAGTCAAGGTATATGCAATAGATTTTTTAAGATTGTCGAATATTAAACGTCCTTCTTCAACACCGGTTACAATTGATGCAAAATTATCATCCAAAAGAATCATATCGGCAGCTTGTTTTGATACATCCGAACCAGCTATGCCCATCGCAACACCAATATCGGCTTTTTTCAATGCTGGTGAATCATTAACACCATCACCTGTAACAGCAACGATTTGACCTTTGAAATGTTCAAATGTTGGAATCAATCAATCAATTAATCAATCAATCAATAAATTAATTAATTGTGTAAAAACAATAAGAGATTAACAACACATTGAACATTTACCTTGTCGTTGGCAACCTTCAACAATTAATAATTTTTGTTGTGGTGATGTACGTGCAAATACAATTTCCGTATGTTTATTGAGTATTCTATCTAAACGTTCTTCTTTCATATCTTTTAATTCTTGTCCATGTACAACAATAGCTTTTGCTTTACGTTGATCAACTTGTTCGATTGGTATATCCAAACGATTAGCAATATCTTCAGCTGTTTCGGTTCCTTCCGATATTATTCCAACAGCTTTTGCAATAGCTTTAGCTGTAATTGGATGATCACCAGTTACCATTATAACTTTGATACCGGCACTCCTTGATTACCAGTAATGGTGCAAGGTTAATAAATTTGTTTTTACTCAAAGGTTTATTTAACACACTCTACTTACCTACACTTGGCAACAGCATCTGGTACAGCAGCTCTTGGTGGATCAATCATCGATATTAAACCAAGAAAACGTAAATTATCTAATGGAAAATTTTCTTCATCCGGATCGAATGGATAACCAGGTGGATATTTATCGGCAGGCAATGGATAATCACAAAAACCAAGTACACGTTCACCAAGACCACCTAATTCCATATAAGCAGCATTAAATTCATTACGAAATTCTTCATCAATAATCTTATTTTCACCATCCAACAGTACGGTTAAACATCTATTCATTTCCCCACCATTCCCCACCATTTTTATTAAAAAAGAAACAGAAAAATTGAATAAATTTTGAAGAAAATAAATAGAAAATAGGAAAATTACCTATCAAGAATACGTTCAGGTGCACCTTTCATACATAATAAATAACATGATTGTGGAATTTCTTCCGTTTCATGTATTGTAATATGATATTTATTTGTTGAATTGAATGGTACTTCACAAACTTTTGGATTTTTTCTTCGATATTCTTCAACATTACCCACATTTAATTCCATACATTTTAATATTGCCGATTCGGATGCATCACCAATACAATCTCTGTTGTGTGTTCGGTGGGGTTGAATAATTTTTGTTTAAAAAATAAACAAACTTTAATAACAAACAAACACAAACCTTTTCAATATAGGAACATCATCTTGATCGGGTTTAAATTCAGCACGACTACACAAACGACAAGCTCTACTTAATGCTTGCCAACCAATCGATGTACTTTGCTGTTGTTTACCGGATTGATCTTCAGTTGTATCGGCTTCAATAACATTACGATCATACCATAAATGTGAAACAGTCATACGATTTTGTGTTAATGTACCAGTTTTATCTGAACAAATTGTCGATGTTGAACCTAATGTTTCAACTGCTTCTAAATTTTTAACTAAACAATTTTTACTTGCCATACGTTTAGCTGTTAATGTTAAACAAACAGTAACTGTTGCTAATAAACCTTCAGGTACATTTGCTACAATAATACCGATTAAAAATATAACAGCATCTAACCATTCATAACCAAGTGCAAATGCAATTATAAAAAATGTAACACCAAGGAAGACAGCAACACCGGTTATAATACGAATAAAATGTTCAATTTCTTTTGCAATAGGTGTTTCACCCATTTCTAAACCGGATGCTAAATGTGCAATCCGTCCCATTATTGTACGATCACCAGTATTGATAACAATTCCTTGAGCAGTACCTTCAACACAATTTGTTGAAAAGAAAGCTAAATTTCTAGTTTCCAAGGGATTATCATGTGTAAGTTCGGGTGAACGTGTTTGTGCTTCTGATTCACCTGTCAATGATGAATTATCTACTTTACAACCTTGTGATTTTAATATACGAATATCGGCCGGTATACGATCACCACTTTTTATTTCAACAATATCACCAACAACAACTTCTTCAGCCGGTATTGTTAGTTTATGTCCTTCACGTATAACCGTTGCATATTGTGGTACCATATTTTTGAATGATTCCATTATGGCTGATGATTTTGCTTCTTGATAATAGGAAAAACAACCGGTTATTATAACAACAGCAGCTAATACAATACCAAGATAAAGCTGTAAAAATTTTGAACAAACAAAAACAACGATTAATGCATTAATCAATGAATCAATCAATCAAAATTACATTGTCTGGTGGTGCATCTTCAGTGGATGTATGTTGAATGGAATAGGCAAAAAAACAAAGAACAGCACCGATCCAAAGTAACAAAGCAAAACCACCGAATAATTGTTTACAGAATTTAACCCATTCGGGTGTTTTTTTCGGTGGTGTTAATGCATTTGGACCATCACGTTCCAATACTGCTTTAGCTTGAGCATTTGTTAAACCTGATTCGGCATTTGTTTTCATTCGTAATACTAATTCTTCGATAATAATTTTATGTTCATCCATAATAACTTCTTTTTTAAGTTCTTCAATATTTTTTTCCTGTTCATCTTTATTATCTTTTGCATTATTACTATTTTGCTGTTGTTGTTGTTGTACACTACCGCCGCCATTTCGTTTTATTAGTGGCATAACTGATTGAGTAGTAGGTGATTCGGTCATTATTTGATTAGGATTGATGGTGAATCAAGAAAAAATTGAAAAACAAAAAATCAAAAAGTTAAAAAATTTCAAATAAAATTATTATGTAAAACATTTAAATAGAAACACCATACCCGTTTTGTATTGTTTTGTTTGTTTGTTTTGTATGTATAATTCGAACACACCAACAACTTAATCAATCAAGCAATTAATCAATTGATTAACAACGGAAAAACACATTCAGAACAAAATTGAATTAAGTCAAATTTGATTTTGTAATTTGAAACAAAAAATTGTTTCCATTTTTATTTATAATGTTTGGTCTGAGCAATCGATTTATAATGATGATTATGATGATGGAGGGTTCAATGAATCAATCAATGAATGTGATTTTGATGATGAGGAATTTATGACATACATTCAGATTCTATTATATTGATGGTTATATAACATTTTTTGCTGTTTGTTTGGTTGAATGATTTAATGACCTAGTGTAAATGACAAGTCAAAAAAGGAATATTCTCATAGTTTTTTTTTGTTTCAAAGGAAAAAACTTATGTGTGTGTGTGTGTGCTTTGAAGGAGACTAGTCATATCATTTTTGACACAATTCTGGTATGACATACAGAGAGAGAAGGAATAGCATCCAATTGAATCGAAGAGAGAGAGAAAAAAACAACAAAAATCGATTACGCAAAAGAAATATACTGAATGTGTAGCAGATTTTTTTTTTTTTTTTTTTTTGATTGGATGTTTCAACAACAACAACCAAACATTCATCGTATGATTTTCTATATGGACAAAATATTAGCCCAAGAATAAATGCCCGAAACTACCACCACCACCACCATCGTCATATGATATACAATATTTTTTTTGGGGATATTTTAATTCAAAAAGCGAAAAAATTCTGCAGAGAAATGATGCTAGTGAATTTTGTTGTTGAGCAGACGCTGTTGTTTCGACAAACAAACCAAACCAAGAAACACTTGGAACAGAATCCTTTTTTTTTCCTGTTTGGTTTGGACGCCGCATCATCTTCTTCTTCATTAGAAGATGATGAAGATTCTCTGTATAGTTTTCATTGCCTTTTTCGCTGCTGCTGCATCTTTTCAATTTCTATCAATTTCTTATGGCCAATTTCACACAATACAATGATTATTCTGCAAATATAACAATGTTGTTGTTTTTGTTGTTGTTGATGGTGGTTATATAATAATCATAATTATAATAATGATGATATATTCATTTGATGATGGAAATTATGTAAATGCTATCGGAATTATGTGTGCAAAGAATAAAGATTTGAATATAGAGATCTATAGAGAGATGAAGATAGAGAGAAAAAAAACGAATGTAAATGCATTATTTTTTAAACATCCAGAAGAAAGACGAAAAAAAAAATATCAAATTGCAAATGAAAAATCATTTGAAGGAATCAACTTTCACAAGCATCTTCAACATTCATTCATTGACTATAGTCTATGTATATAGGTAGTATACATGAATATTATTATCAAAAACATTATGAGAATGACAACCTGACATATCTAAGAAGTAGCGAAAAAAAATGATGATAATAATCAAATGAAAATGAAAATTATTAAAATAAAAAAAAAATATATTCCGGAATTGTGTTTGAAAGATAAGATTTCATAAAAGGAAAGAATTTTTTTTTGGATGTTATTCTTTCATTCTCGTTTTTTTCTGCATTGGAAATTAAATCACCAGAAATAGAATTTGTGAAAATTCAATTTCTCAATTTTCTGCTTTTTGGTTGGCTAATTTTCAAATGAAATTTTAAAAAAAATTCTGTCAATTAAACAAGGGAAAAAAATTGATAAATAATGATGATGAATTGTTTTGAAAATTTATTGATAAAAAACCCAAAGAAAAAAAACAATTTTCACTAATGTTTGGACTATCAAACAAACACACGCAATACAAAATTTATTTTAAAAAAATGAAATGAAAAACACATTATCTGATCATAAAGCAAATCATTTACAGTATACAAATAGGAGAAAGAAAAAGAAGATTTTTCTGTTTGTCAAACTTGTAATCATTTTTTTTGGCTATTTTTTTTGAACAACAGTAGCAATATATCATTGTTTATATTACATAATCTGATTAGCGTTTGGATGTCATTCACAGAATGTTGACAAAAATCTATTTTAATATAGGCCATACTGGTGTTGTTGAATTATCATCGACTATTCCATTGCCATTATTATGATTGTTGTTGTTGATTGTTTTCAACAACAACATTGGATGATGACATGATGATGATGATTGTTGTTGTTGTAATGGAATTAAATCATCATTCGTCGTCGTCGTTGTTGTTTTTCGATTATCTAAATTATTCAACAATTGTAATGATGATGATGAAATGATGATTGGCTGATGTTTAGGTGTTGTTATTGGTGATGATTTTCTTGGTGGAATTGGTGGTGGCTGTTGTTGTTGTTGCTGTGATTCGCCATTCATTGAACGTTGTCGATTCTGAATATATATTATTGATGATAAGGTTTTTTTAAAAGAAAAAAATCATTCAATCAAAAAACTTGCCTCAATTTCCATAACATTATCCGGTAATGAATGTAATGATTCTATCCATGTATTTGGATCCTACAAACAAAATTGTTTTTTTCCGAAGGATTTTTTTTTTTTGAAAATGAAAAAATATTTTTTTCGTTAGTTTAGCTAGTAAACAAGACACACAAGACAATCAACTATGACTAAAAACAAAGACAAACAAAAACAGGACAAATTTTCTACAAATCAAAAGGGTTATTTTTGTTATTTTTTACTACAGAAAAATTTAAATAAAAAAAATCAAGCATCACCACCACAAAAAAAAACATAAAGCAATAGATATAAAGCAAAAAGAAAAAAAAAACAGAAATTTAAAATTTTGTTTTCGTTTTTTTGGCAATCATGAATAATGGAATCATTTTGGATGTTTAGTGTGTGTGTGTCACAGATAATAAGCAAAAATAATTTGATTTTTGAGAAAAATTTTGTTGAACATGCTTCAACCAATCCAAACCAATCATACCTCGAAACAATTTTCACTTTCATCAAGATTATCTTGATTATTGTTATTATTATTATTATTATGATTATTACTAAGATCTTGATTTGTTATTGTTGTTGTTGTTTTAGGCACATTATTATTATTTGAAGATGATGACGATGATGGATTATTATTATTATTTGTATTTCCACCACCACTGGTACTGGTACCACCACCATTGGAAGAATTGGCAGTTTTATTAAGATTTTTATTCTGTATGGAAGACATTTTCGGATGATAGGATATTCCTCCACGTGGATCAAATGGATCAACAACCACTTGTTCGGTTCCTTTAATTTCAGCTCGACAAAATGGACATCCTTGACCTTCAGTATCCTGAATGAATTGAATAATAAATGAAAAGTGAAAATGTTTTTTTCATCAAAAAATTGTTCAAAAACACATACCTGCCAAGCATTCAAACAAGGTGTACATAATAAATGACCACATGGTTCAATACGAATATCTTTATCATTTTCGGCACATATTTTACATAATTGAAATGTTGATCCCATTTCACAATATAATTCATATTGTTCCTGGGTAACACGAATATGATCTTCAGGCATTGATGTTACAGCTAATGTTAGATCAGGATTTATATTTCGTCCATCTGGATATCGATAACTATATCGGGTGAATGAAAAAAAAATTATATTAATAAATGTTAAATCAAAATAGGAAAAAAACCTTACAATCCTTCACGATAACCATCCAATAATGCTTGACAAAGTGATTTATTTTGTGGTATTGTTTGTAAAATATTACCATCAGGTGTTACATAACCAATAGCCCATTGACCAAGTCTTGTACATGATAATCGAAATACATAACTATAAACAAATGAAATGTTGTCAATTAATTTTACAAATGTTAATCCAAAAAATCAAACAAAACAAACCTTCCTGGTTTATTAATATATTTTTGTAAACGTGCTTTTACTTCATCATATGTAAGAAAGGCAACATAACCAGGATGTGTTACGGCTAATATTTGCCAATTTTTTAGCAATGTTGACCATGGTTGAAAAAGTCTATTGGTGGATAAAAAAAAACAATGACATTAATTTTTCATCCAATTATCATTCCAAAAACAAACCTGGTAAAAACATCAAATTCAAAATTGGAAATATAATCATTACAGGTAAGATCGATAGTTGATTTTAATGCCATTGCTTCTAGGCTTGAACTAATCTGATGAGTTTGATGTAATGCTTGTCGAAAAAATCTCCATGGTACAATAGTACGATCACCGAATGAATTTTTCCAAAAATCAGCTGCATCCGATTTTGTTATACGAAAATTATCGGCTGCAAATGAACCATTTGGAAATATGGCTTTAAGCTCGGATAACATATGACTAAATACCAATGATAATTTGGTTAGATTACGACGATAGGTACTTGTTTCATCAAACATTTTTTCTTTTCCTTCTTTAAATAATTTTATAGCTTGTTTACATTTTTTATTTAAATTTTCTAAAAATATACGAAAATATTCATTTTCATCTAAAATATTTAAACGATCTTCATGTTTACTATAAACAGTGGTTAAATGTTGAAATGTTTCAGGTAAAATATCCAATATAAATGGTGGTGAATTTTTTAAATTCATTCGGCTATGTTGACAAAGTTTGACAACCTAGTTAAATCAGAAAAAGATTAATTAATTAATTTTTTTTTGCAATGAAGAAACGAAAACAAAAACAAAAACAAAAACAAAAACAAAATCATTTTCCTGTTCTACAATCAACAATCAACAAGAATAAAGCAGATTCAAACATGCAAAGAGAAAAGAGGAAATGATTACTATTGACAACCAACTTGGCTAAAAATTGACATTTTTATCAAAACCAAAACAACAAAAAAAAAATGCACTTCCTTTAAAACAAAACAAAAAAAAGAAAAGAAAATGCCTTGTTTTTCGCCACTTACCTTATTCATATTTTTATAAGTTTTTTCAAAATTTCTTCGATCAACTGTTGTTTTCTGTGTTGACATAGCATCACTAAATGATTGTTGCAGTTTTGTTATTAATGATGTTATTGTTGTTGTTGATGATGGTTGTGATCTTTGATGTTGATTTGCTCGAATATTATTATTATTATTATTCGAAACATTATTAGCAATATTATTATTAATGCTATTAATATTATTGATATTTGGAGTATTCATATTCAAAGCCATTTTTGATTGATGTTGATTATTGGATCACAAAATCAAATTCAGATCATTAAAAAAAACGTTTTCAAATGAGGAAGAATGGAACATTAAGGGAATAAATCGTAAATGATATTGCTAATAGTCGATGATAGTTATCACACATTGTTCTTCGTTGGGGAGCAGAAGAATCGAATCGAAAAAAAAACGATATGCCAGGAATATATTCAAGGAAAAAAAGCTTTGATGGTGAATCGCTCGAATTTGAAACAGGCTAAAACATTTTCAAATTAAGATTTTCATATTAAATGTGCAAAAAAAAAGATAGTTTTAATAAATTATAAATAAGTTAAATAGGAAAAAAAACATTCATTCCGTGTACCATAGTACACACTGATCATGATGATGATAATATCG